TCAGATTTCAGCCACATCTGAATCGCTGTTCTACTAGTTTACGTCTTTGAATTGTTATTTTACCTTGTTGAGCTTTATTTAATTTGCATTTTGGTTTTGTTTTTGAATTTGCCTGTTTCTCTGATGTCCTGTTTCTCGCTAATAATTTAAGTCCCTTTCTTTATTATTTTGAGTGCACCGTGCATGTTTTCCATTTCTGCTTCCGATTATTTTATTACCTGAGTACTGTGGGTCTAATTCTCCTAATTCCAGTGCTTGCTGGTCTATTTTCATTTTTCTTGTGTGATTTATTTGTATTTTTTACTGTTACCTTACGGTCCTTAGAACTTTCTCTTTGGAACTTGTTTGATGGGCAGAGCGTGGCCCTGCTTTCCCAGCCGGGATCTCTGCGTATGCTCCTGCCACGAGCCTGCTCGCACTGTGGTCTCGGGTGCCGCGCACAGTTGATCCGCCGGCAGTCAGCGCTGTGCGTGCCTATGTGGGCAGGTACCACCATCTGTTTCTTTGTAAGGTTTGCCCCCCGTGGATACCGACTTTTTTGGTCCTGGTTCTCTGCTCTCGTCTCCCACCCGGTTCGGGCACCTGCAGGAAGTGACTGATTCCAGTCCCTCCCCGGGAGACTCCTGCTCCGGGCTCCAGGGCCGGCCGTGCCCCCTGGACTCAGGAGGAGCCCAGGAGACTCAGGGGTCAGTTTATGTGAGGGGGGCACGTGCGAGGGGCAGTGTTTGTTAGGGCCACGTGCTGGGGTGTCTGTGCCCGGGAGCCCGTGGAGTAGGGCGGCTCTGGTCTTTGGGAACCCAGGAGGACACAGCTCATCCGACACCAGTCAGGGCGATCGTGCGCAGAAGCAGCACCTCCCCTCTGGCCTCTGTCCCTGTCGTGGCCTGGCATTGCCTGAGGAGGCAGGCTCTGAGCCCTGAACCAGACTCCGCGGTGCCTGCGGCTGCCGCCGCCTGGGAATTGCTGGGGTTTGCTGTCTGGGCACACGCGGGAGGAGCCCCAAGAGGGGCACCCCAGGGGATCTGTCACCCAGGGTTTGCACCGGTCGGGGTTTCATGTCGGGGGCTCGGTCTGTGATGTGGGGGCTTAGGGTCAGACGCGCCTCCCTGGCCTCAGAACAGGAAGGCTTTGGGCTGGAGGGGAGGAGACGCCGGAAGAGAGAACCCTGACCCCAGAAGAGAGGCCCCAGGGGCTGTGCCTGCTGGATGTCCCTCACTGGTTTTTCGGACTTTGCACATTTCCCCATGTCCTCCCTCCTTCCTGCACCCTCTCGGGGAAATTACAAAAGCCTGCATCCCGGCCCAGCGTTGGGGGCTGGAGCGCTAGTGTCCCTGGGCATCGCGTTGGTGACTATGGCCCGTGGGACTGCGGAGGCGGGGGTCTGGGTCCCCGGGACCAGCCAGGGGTGAGAGGTGGCAGTGGGGCCTGCTGCTGGCAGGCCTGTCCCGTGAACAGAGCTGTCCTTGGGGCAGAGGCAGGATTGGCTAGCACAGCCCGGCCAGTGTGGGCCCCAAGGGCAGGGAGGACAGTGGACGTCGTCTTCCCAGGCAGACCTGTCTGCCCAGCCCCATGGAGAAGAAGTTACCGCTCCTGGTGGAGGGTACTTTGGGCGGTGGGGAGTGGCCGCGGCTGAGATGCATACCGCCGGGGTCGGGGGGAAGGCCCGCGTCCGGGGCCCGCCAGCGTTGGTTTCTCTGTTCTGAGCTGCCCGCAGAGGGGCTCTGGCTTCCGCATCAGTAGATACAAGCCCGACAAAGTAGGGCATGTTTTTCAAATGCTCTTGGCTTTCCAGAGCATGTCAGCTGGTTGTCGCGGATCCTCGGTCTCCACGCCCACGCCCCTGGGGTCGGCATCCTTACTGCGGGAGACCCCAGACCCTTGGTGCGTGCGCAGCCCCTGTGCCTCAGCTTCCTGTCCAGAAGGCTGAGGCCTGCCTCGATGGCCACTCATTCCCAGCGTTGGGGCTGGCTGTGCACCGTCGCACAGCACCGCCTACCAGCCCTGTCCCCTCATTTCTGCTGAGGAAGGAAGCATTTAGTTTGTCCAGAGCCCCTGGTCTCTGCCCTCCTCAGGTTCCGGCCCCTTACTGGGAGCATTCCAGAGCTTCCAGAAGATTCCTCCTGTCCTTGGTACCAACCTGTCTGAGGGGCTCAGCGCTGGTTGGGGAGGTGGGCCGGAAGACAGGACGGCTGG